AGTCCTCGGACGAGGAGGATGAGGAGTTTCAGTTCATCAAGAAGGCGAAGGAGCAGGAGGTGGAGCCCGAGGAGCAGGAGGAGGAACTGGCCAATGACCCCCGTCTGCGGCGGCGGCCGGAACCCATTTCCCGGGGCGGGGGGGGTTTTGGTTGTCTCTCCGGCAACAGCAGGTTTCCATTGGGACCTCCGTTCCCACATGGAGCATGGACAGGGAGGAGCTGCCAGTGCTCAGCCACTGAAGCCTCCCAGGAGAGAAGGTGTGGGTACTGCCCACGCTCAGCAGTCTCAGCATCTACCAGGAGCCGTTCACGACCAGCCACCTTTCCACAGGCTCCTGATGCTCTGAGTGTATGGGCTAACGGGATTTGTTGCAGACTGGCAAGACACCGCAAGATCGTGGAGCCTGAGGTGGTGGGAGAGAGCGACTCAGAGGTGGAGGGAGAAGCTTGGCGCCTGGAGCGGGAGGACACCAGTGAGGAGGAGGAGGAAGAGATCGATGATGAGGTGTGTCCGCAGAGCTGAATCTCAGGTCTTGGGAGCAGGAACGGCACAAGGCTGGCACTGCCTCTGGCACAGACAGGTGGTTGTGTGGTGGAGCTGGGCAAGTGTCACAGCTGGCCATGACTTGCGTGGTGGGTCACTGTCCTATTGCATGGGACAGGACAGTGGGAGAGGTCACCCTGTGTCCAGAGGGATTCCTGTGTGTTCTCGGAGCCAGCATGCCAGACAGTACAAGCGTTGGGCAGAGGAGGGGGAAGCAGCAGGCTGGTCCGACTACTCTGTGCCTGTCCCCACAGGAGATCGAGCGCCGGCGCGGGATGATGCGTCAACGAGCACAGGAGAGGAAAACTGAGGAGATGGAGGTGATGGAGCTGGAGGATGAGGGTCGGTCCGGAGAGGAGTCCGAGTCGGAGTCAGAGTACGAAGAGTACACTGACAGCGAGGACGAGATGGAGCCGCGTCTCAAACCTGTCTTCATTCGCAAGTAGGCAATGAGGGCATGGGAGTCGGGCTGAGCAGACCTCACAGCCGTGGTCCCTGCCTTGCTATGGGGTGGCTCTTCACCTCGCTGGGGAGGGGGCAGGATGGGCACAGCCTGGCATGGCACAGCTGGGGACCGAGGGGCAACTCCTGCACCCATAGCCTGCCATGGGCTGCATAAGCTTGCGGCAGATCAGGCTGTGGAGTATGACCAGAGCGCTTGGGCAAGGGCCATATGGTGCCAAAGGTGCTGTCAGCAGGCTGTGCCGCACAGCTGGTGGCTTGGTCCCCACTGCTCGCATGCACATGCACAGCTGTAGGGGAACAGTGCAGGACCCCTGGAAAGAGAACCCCTGGGGCTCAGCCTGTTCCTGCAGAGGGCAAAGGCTGACAGCAGTTGTGGTGCAGGAGGGGAGGAGTCAGCGGGGGCCGAGTGGCTGTGCTGGCTCATGGGAGGGCTGAAGGCTGTTGTGGCCCTGCTTTCAGGAAGGACCGGATCACAGTCCAGGAGCGAGAAGCAGAAGCCCTGAAGCAGAAGGAGCTGGAGCAGGAGGCAAAGAGGATGGCCGAGGAGAGACGCAAGTACACGCTCAAGGTGCGAAGGGGCAGGCTGGGGGCCACGGGGGACAGTCATCACAGCAAGTTTAACTTGGGCCTCGTTGCAGATCGTAGAAGAAGAAGCGAAGAAGGAGCTGGAGGAGAACAAGCGCTCGCTGGCAGCACTAGACGCACTCGACACAGACGATGAGAACGACGAGGAGGAGTACGAGGCCTGGAAGGTCCGTGAGCTGAAGCGCATCAAACGGGACCGCGAGGAGCGAGAAGCGTGAGTATTGGCTGCATAACCACGAAGCTGAGAGCCCACAGCAGGTGAGGCATCTCTTCCTCAGGCTGCCCTTTGACAGCAGGGTCCTGGCTGGATCGAGTGCCTAGAGCCCCTCCTGCCTGGTCTCCGGTTGTCTTTGCTCCCCAACAGTAAATGTGTAACCCCCTGAGTGGCTAATGACAGCCTCTGTCCCGGGAGGAGGACATGGGATCTCAGGGGCTTCTCTCCCCACTAGCATGGAGAAGGAGAAGGCGGAGATCGAGCGCATGCGGAACCTGACGGAGGAGGAGCGCCGGGCCGAGCTCCGGGCCAATGGCAAGGTCATCACCAACAAGGCTGTGAAGGGCAAATACAAGTTCCTGCAGAAGTACTACCACCGTGGTGCCTTCTTCATGGTGAGTACTTAAAAGAGCTGCAAGTACCATGGCAACCCTGGCAGAGCAGCCATATGAGCTTTGGGCAGTTCTCCCCCACTTCTGCTGGTGCTCGATAGAACCTTTTAGGCTGAGCGGGTGTGTCCTCCCATAGGATGAGGACGAGGAGGTGTACAAGAGGGACTTCAGTGCCCCGACCCTTGAGGACCACTTCAACAAGACCATCCTGCCCAAAGTCATGCAGGTGGGTGAGCTGGTGGAGGGCACCTGGCCCATGTGCCAGGCCAAGGGTTGAGGGTCCTGGGCAGAGGCGAGCAGTGGGTCTTGCATTCCTCTAAACAGCTACTCACAAGCTCTTCTGCTCAATAGGTCAAGAACTTTGGGCGCTCGGGGAGGACAAAGTACACACACTTGGTGGACCAGGATACCACCTCTTTTGACTCTGCCTGGGGCCAGGAGAGCGCACAGAACACCAAGTTCTTTAAGCAGAAGGCAGCAGGTGTGCGGGATGTCTTCGAGAGACCCTCGGCCAAGAAGCGAAAAACCACCTAAGGGCGCAGGCAGGAGGGCCTGGCATGGCTGACGTCGGCAGGAGGGTACTGCTCTGCCAGCTACCGGAACCTGGGCAGGGACAGAAGGGACACAGTCTCATGTTGGGACTCCTGTGGTGACAAGTCCATCCTCTGCCTGTGCCATGCCTGCCCTGCTGACGTGGTGCCCTGCTTCCTGTGCTGCAGACACAGTGAGCTCCCTGCCCACACACCGTAGAGGACAATGGCCTGTGGTGCTGGCTAGGCCCATGGCCACACCATGTATTACCAGCTGCCACCTCGGAGCCTTGGCAGCACCTGGCAGGGCTGTGCGGGAGCATGGCAGTACCCCTGGCTCCAGCACACCCACTTCTGGAGGAATTAGAGGACTTTGGTACTCATCTGGTCCACAGCATACCCCCGCTTGTATAGGCCATGGTGTCATTCTGGACCCTGTTTCGGGGTGGAGGACAGCAGTGATGCTGTCTCCTCACCCTGTTCTGCAGGGCTTGGCTTTTCTATCTGGGTGGGGTGGGGGTTTTGATTAAAGATTTGGTTTTTCTTACACACTGTCCATGTTGTTCCTACACACATAGCCACCCAGTTCTGTGCCTTCCTGCAAGCCAGTGTGGGCTGGAGCAGCACAGGAGGCACCAATCCAGGCACAGGTTGGCCCATGCACAGCAGCTGCCTGTGCTGCCCCAGGGGTAAGGCTAAAAGAGGAGAGAATAGCATGTCTCAGTGCTCAGCCAGGGCATTGTGTCCTGTTCCAGCCATGGGGAGCCCAGGCAGTGCCAGCCTGCTGCCACACATCTTCCCACAGCCTGGGCCTCGCTCATAAGGACCATGTGGGACCTACTGGGCAGGGGCAGGCACTGCACAGACGACAGCAACAGTCCAGTCCCACCAGTGCCTTTATTGGGTAGGGTAAGAACCCCGTGCTCAGTTGGTGAGGGTGATGAGTGCCTCCACCACGTTGCCCATATGCTCGCGCAGGCTGCGCTCAGCTGCGGCCCGCGAGATCTCCATCTCTGTCATCTGCAGGGAAACAGCCGCAGCCCCGTACAGTGGCCACAGAGGGCCGGGGACACCACCCTTGAGGACACCCACCCTAGGGGACATCCGCCCACGGGGACACCTGCATGCACCAAGCTCCTCCGTGAGCACAGGTCTGGTGACCAGACACAGCTGCACCCAAGGTTTG